GACAGGATACTCCCCAACTTGTCCTGTGTGGTCATTCTTGCTCTGATATCAATGCCACAGACATGGCGTGGAAAGAAAACTGCAGACTCATCTACCTCACAAATACCGACACCTTCGACAGAGCAGCAGCAAACGGAATCCAAACATGTACAAAAATGATGAGGCGTCATGACCAAGTGGGATTTATCCCAGGAATGCAAGGTTAGTTTAACATCTAAAAATCAATGAATACACTCTATTAAAAGTCATTATCATTTCAAAAGATGCAAAAAAAGCATTTGACACTATTCATTCATGATACAAACATCACCCTTGAGGGAGCATGCCCTGAGATGAAGAGGGTCAGCATGCTTTTTCTCACTCCTGTCCTGGAGGTTCTAGCCACGGCAAACAGAAGACAGAAATAAAAGGAACTCGAGCCAGCCTGGTAGCCTAGTGGCTAAATCCTCACCTTACATACTCCCGGGATCCCAAATGCTCATATCTCCGCAGCTCCACTTCCCTTCCAGCTCCCTGCCTGTGGCCTGGGAAAGCAGTAGAGGATGGCCTAAAGCTTTGGGACCCTGCACCCGCGTGGGAGACCTGGAAGAATCTGTTGGTCCTGGCTCCTAGCTTCCGATCAGCTCAGCTCTGGCCAGTGCGGCCACTGGGGAGTGAATGAAATGGGAGCAGATGGAAGATTTTCGTCTCTCCTTCTCTCTGGCTTTCCAGTAAAAATAAATAAATCCTTTAAAAATAAATAAATAATAGGAACTTACACTGGAAAAGAAAAACCTTCCCCTCTCATACATAATTTTATATAAAATTTCATAGAAAATTCTCCAAGTATTTACTAAAAATACTGAATGTCATAGGATACAAAATAAACACAAAAAGCATTATCAAGGAGCATATCATAAACAAAATTAACAATCCTATTACTAACACCACCAAGAAAAATCAAACACCCATGCATTTACACAACCAAATAAATGTAGGGCTTGTCCACTGAAAACTATAAAACACTGCTAAAAGAAATTAGTTAGGATCTAATAATAAATTGAGAGACACATTTATTCATGGATCAGAAAATGGCACTCATGCCCCAAATTGGTTCAAAAGTTCAAACGCAATCCTTATTAAAGTCCACAATTTTGAGGAAATTGTTAAGTGCAGGATACAGGACAAGCAATGTTGAAAATGAGAACAAAGCTGGAAGATTTATAACTTCTGATTTAAAGCTTACTACAAAGCTATGGTCATCAAAACAGCATGGTATTTGCAAAAGATTAGTCATACAGATTAACTGAATAAAACTAAGAACACAGGGGGAAACAAAAGACATTCATAACTGAGTAATTTTTGATAAAGTTCCCACAAAATTCAACAGGAGGCATGACGGCTGAATTGGCTCTTCCTCTGGCATCCTGTGTGGACACCAATTCGTGTCCTAGCTGCTCCACTTCCCTTCCAGCTCCCTGCTTAGGACCTGGGAAAACAGTTAAGGATGGCCCAAACCCTTGAGACCCTGCACTCACGTGGAAAACCCAGATAAAGCTCCTGGCTCCTGGCTTTGGATGGGCTCAGCTCCAGCCACTGTGGCCACTTGGGGAGTGAACCTGTGAAGGGAAGGTCTTCCTCTCTGTCTCTCCTTCTCTCTGTAAATCTGCCTTTCCAATAAAAATGAATAGATAAAACCAATTCTCTTTTCAACAAGTAGTATCATGGCAATTAGATATCCATACTAAAAAGAATCTGGAACCCCATCTCGCATTACACACAAACTAACTCAAAATGGATGATAATCTAATGTAAGCTCTTCCAGAAGAAAATATAGCAGTAAATCTTTGGGATTTTTGAACAGCCAATCAGTTTGTCAGAAGAAACGCAAGGGGGACAATAGTAAACTGAGTATTAAACATTTGCACTATGGAAGATAGGCAAGAAGGACCCTTATTGTGGCACAGTAGGTTAAGCTGCTGCTTAGGGCACCCATGTGCCACACCAGAGTGCCAGCACTGGCTCCTGCATTTAGGAAAGCAGCAGATGAGGCCCACAGCCTTGCTAGCCCACCTGGGAGACCCCGATGGAGTTCTTGGCAGCCCCTGGCATCAGCCTGCTACAGCCCAGGTGGTCGACGGCATTCAGGAAGTGAACTGGCAATGGGAGGTATCTCTTCTCTCCCATCCACTTTCAAATAAACCAATAAATCTGTCTCTTTTTAAAAAGTCTTTCCATGGTACTGTAATTTGTTGTTGTTGCTGTTGTTGTGGCTGTTCTAACTCATATCAGTTGTTGACCTTGTTTTATGGCTTCTCACTTATGGTAATGTATAGTGATGGAGTACTGGGGTCTATCATATACAGACGTGGGGGTATAATGAAACATGCATCCCTGCATGCAGACGAAAAATGGATTCCCTATGAAACTGTTGGACATGTGTAGACAATGGAATGCTAGGATGTCTGACATTGTCTGTACCAACAATGTCGGGTACACTTAAATAAGAGACTGATATAATTATGATTCCTTGTGAAGGATTGCACTATCGTAACAAAATGCAAAGAATCTGACGGGGGGGTGGAAGTTTATGGGGGGCTGAATCCCAGCCTATACAAAATTGTAAAAAATAATAATAGATAAATAAATAAAAAATATGTATCTTTTAAAAATAAAAATCTTTCCAATAAATACATAAGTCCCTTTTTGGCAGCCATGAGAAAAGCCTGGATGGAGGTAAAGGTTCCAGGCTTCAATGTAGCTGACTTGGCTTTTGTGAATACTGAGGAAGTGAACAAGCACATGGAAGATCTTCTCTTTCCCTCTCTCCCTCTTTCAAATAAAATAATTTTTAAAACAAAGACCCTCTCCCTCCCATGCTCATGGTAATGTAGGACACGTCATCTTGTGCTGTACAAATTCCCTCCCGAGGTCTTGATGTCAGGAAATTCTTCCATGGCATTTTAAAATTGAAGCAGAGATGCTGGGCCAGTGCCTCCCACCATGAGCATCAGAACCAGTCATTTGCCAGAGCAGCAACCTTGCTTCCACAACACGTGAGGACCAGCACCTTGCAATACATCCCTCTCTCCCCTGAGATTCGTGTCAACGGCGTTTCAGGTCTAGGTAACCGAGACTTCTAACACCACTTTAGTTTCAATCACTGTCCCCCTAATCTCCAGTCCCATGTTCCCACAGACGGCTCAGCAGTCCCATGTTCCCACAGACAGCTCAGCCTCCGGAGGCCTTGCTTTTGCTGCAATAAGGCCGTGTCAGATGAAAAGCCCTTTCTCTCAGCAAAGGCCATTTCCAGTAACAAAGGCTAAAGTGATTTTGCTGGAAATACTGGCTGAGCAAGCTCTTTTTAGGATTACAAGGCAGATCTCTGAACAAAGTCTGAGGAATTTTAAGATTTGCCCAATCCCCAGAATAACAAACAATCAAGTGGTGTTTATGGCTGTTATTCTAGACCAACATGGTGCCATGTGAGATAAAGCCTTGAAATCCTAAAACAGAACACCCAGGAGTTAAAGGAGTTACAAGAACTTTTGTCAGATCCATTTTCATTGATTATGTAGCTGTGGTTTAATCATACTAAAACCAGGAGCATGACTGTCACAATCATCAGGAAAATCAACCCCCAAAATCTTGAAAAATAAATTCACCAAGGGAACGGACACACAACACAAAATATCTACACAGTTCCTCCCCATCTCTGGGACTCCCTTCTTCCCAGTGTCAGGCAGTCAACTGCCACTTGCAAATACTAAACGGAAATATTGAGATAAATAATCTGTAAACTTTAACCTTGATTATTGTAAATATTTGACTTTATTTTTAGTTATTAATCTCTTCATCAGCCTAATTTTAGAAATAGACATTTTTTTTCCTATGCACAGGTCCTACACGGGGGGGAGGGGAAACGAGGACCACCATTGCAATGTAAATATCTCCCGTTAATGAGGGAACTATGGGATTTTCTTTCTTCTAACTGCTATGAGGATACTTCAGAAGTTCAAGGAAAACAACATTAAAAGATAAGTTTATGTTGGTACAAAACATTTTGAAAGCTCATGCATATTTTTCCCTAACACACATTTCCCAGAAACTTTTTGAAGACCCCTTCATATTCAGTAAACAGTTACCTTACCAGGTTAGATAGAGCTATCATGTTTGTGGCTGGGTCCGGTAAAATGCTCATGGTCAATGTGCCAAATTCAGTTCTTAGAACCAAAATGATCTTGTGCAGATCTGACCCATCTCTTAAAGTCTAGGACTAAAAGAAACAGGAATGCCACAGAAAACACGATGTAACCCAGTGGTCACTGGACCATGAGAATGTTGCTTCAACTGTGTGAGGTAGCAGTAATGACAACAGAAATGATCACAAGAAACATAAAGCGAGCTAGACAGCAGATACCCAGACCCAGGATGGCACTTTGTTAGATCTAAGAGATCTGATTCCTCTGAAAGAGTTATTTATCGAGAAAGTCAGAATTAGAGAGAGAGACAGAAAGAGGGAGAGACTGGAGAAGATAACTTATATCTGCTGCTTCACTCCCCAGATGACTGCAAGAGCTGGTCTGATGTGATCCGAAGCCAGGAGCCTGGAGTTTCTTCCAGGTCTCCTCCATGGGTGTAGGGACCCAAGGACTTAAGCCATCCTCCGCTGCTTTCCCAGACCATAGCAGGGGGCTGGATGGGAAGTGGAGCAGCTGGGACATGGCATACGGGATGCTGGGGCCACAGGTGATTGGACTGGCCTGCTATGCCACTGTGCCAGCCCCCTGATTAGATCTCAATATTCATTACCGAGGCCCATCAGATTGCGTTTCATTATCACTGCCCCTGAATTCGAATCTGTTTTCATAAACGCCACACAGACCACAGGTGAGTGGCTCTAACGTGTATCACAGCCGCTACGCTGAAAGCAGATGGATCACCGAAAGCACGTGTCTGCTGTCAGACACGTGGGGTGGAGAGTGTGAACTGCACACACAGCAAGGCCCGATGTCCCGTACCTGATGTCCGAGAGGTCACATTTGTTCCCAGCGATGGCCATGACGATGTTTTCAGGGCCGTGTTCTTTTAGCTCTTTGACCCACTTCTTCAAGGTGTGGAAGGAATCCTAAATGCAAAGTGCGAAGGAATCAGCGAAAAGACTTGTCACTACGCTATCGCAACCAAGGTAGGAATCCAACACACAAGGCTTGAAGAAGACTCACATAGATGAACATACGACTACACTACCTAGACATGGCAGTTAACATTAGCTAAGTTACATTTACACAGTGCATACAGGAGTCTTTTTCTAAAATTAAAATGCAATAAGGTTAAGGAAATCTTATTAGCAATTTTCCTCCACAAATAACATAACCTACGACTACAGCCCCTAGTCCACAACGAGTGAGGCCCCCAGGACTCAGCAAGGCTCTTGCCTAGCTCAGGAGCGAAAGCTCTTGAGTCCTTCTTCCTCCAGGCCCTGCGACTCACGGCTGTCCTCCAGCCAGCAGGCCTGCGTGGATACCAGAAAAAAGTGTCAACAATTCATTGAAGGTAGGGGCGGGAAAAATGTCATCCAGTCATGGCGATCATTCGTTGATGGACAACATAGGGCCTCTACTGGGCCACTAAAACAGATTGGAATTATAGGAGTGGTCTTCAGATGTCTTAAGGAAAACACATATTAATGGAAAAACTGTGGATTTCAAATATTTTGTACCAATGTGCACATTTTTAATTCTACCTTCACCAATCTTTTGGAAGTCCTTCATACATATGGTGGTTTCCCGTTGGTCCCCAGAGTCATAAAACCACAGATCCTGCCAACAACTACACATATATGTATTCTTCTGTAAATACGTATCTATAATGTAGCTTAATTTATAAATTAGGCAAGTATGATATTAACAGTAATAACAATGAAACAGAATGATTATAACAATATAACGTAATCACATTTACTTAAAAGTTTGGACTGTTTATTTCTGGAATGTTCTATGAGTAGTATCAAGCCTCTCAGAAAAGACACACAAATGTGATCCTTGGCATTTTTAAGAAATACGATTGAAACAGTGATAGAAAAGTGTTCCAGAATTAAAGCCATGCAGAACCTCATGGTCATTTTCCTTTTCTTAAAAAGCTGGTGCCCTGGAGAGCAATACCAGCAGGCATAACCTCGCCTCCACAGGCAGTTCTTTTAAATGCATGTGCACTGTCAGCGGAAAATCGGAGATGCTTCATTCCCCGTGGATGAAAGAAACTCATAAACACCGGGTCTCCATTCTGCTTGCCCGCATCCTGTGAAATCTCACTCCAGCTGCGGGGACCCCGTGCTTGCCGGGATGGACACCCGCCTCCAGGGCTGTCTGGCTCCTCACCTGCTTGGTGATGTCATAGACAATGACGGCGGCCGCAGATCCTCGGTAGTACATGGGGGCCAGCGAATGGAACTGTTGGAGAACGAAGGACAACTTCAGACACAGGGAGCACACTACACAACGTCAACTTTACAGGTAAAAGGCTTGGCTGACATCATCCCAGCACGATCCCTGGACTCTCTCCAGACCTATTCCAGGCTTCCCGACAGATCTCCCGAGGACACACGGCCACTTCTGACTCACACACCTTGAAAGCTCTTCTTGGGCACGGGCCCAAAGCCAATCCTGCGAATTCTCTTTGTCTATTGCTCATCCCTTAACTAAGACCCAGGGAAATGCGTTAGAATTCTAACAGTAGGAAAATGACAGGTGTCAAGGGCAGGAAAGGAGAATGCTGGCCAAGCTCAGGGTCCCTCGCAGAGGCACCCGTGAGGACACTGCTGCCAGGGCTGCCCCGGCTCGGGGCGGCTTGCCAGCTCTCGAATGCGGTACCTTCTGCTCCCTGCTGCCATGGAGCAGCTCTCAGAGAGCTGCATTCCAGAATAGTAACAGCAAATGCCCAAGACTGCGGGAATGATCCATCCTCGTGGGACGGACAACAATGCCCAGAATACAGACATCTTATGTGTATTACAGAGAAGGGTCCAAACCTAATTTTCACCTTTTTTTGAATTATAAAAATAAGTATTTTTTTTTCCTAATTGGAAATGCAGGTATACAGAGAGGAAGATCTTCCACCATTGGTTCACTCCCCAAGTAGTTGCAATGGCCGAAGATGAGCTAATCCGAGGCCACGAGCCAGGAACCTCTTGGGTCTCCCATGCTGGTGCAGTATCCCATTATTGCTTTCCCAGGTCACAAGCAGAGAGCTGGATGGGAAGCGGGGCAGCGGGGACACGAACCAGTGCCCTTATGGGATCCTGGCGCATGCAAGGCAAAGACTTTAGCCACTAGGCTGCTGTGCTAGGTCCAAATTAGAATAATATGTTAACTGAGTGTTAAAAATCAATAAGAAATAGCTCAATGGGAAATTGGACAAATATACACAAATATATGTGGAATCTTCCAAGAGGTCATCCATAAGGCATATTATACTTTAATTCCATTTTCCATGAACTTTATTGAAGTCCTTCTAGAGTTAAAAAAAATCATCCAGGACATATCAATTACCAATAAATACTTGAAGACCTTTTCAATTAGAAAAGTAGAAATGAGAAGGTTGGCATTACAGTATAACATGTTAAGCTGCCACTTGCGACACCTGTACAAGTCTTGGCAGCTCCACCTCTCATCCAGCTCCCTGCTTTAGGCATCTTGGAGGCAGCAGAGCATGTCCCAAGTACCCGTGGCCCTGCCACCTGCAGGGGACAGCAGGATGGAGCTCCATCTTTCTGGCCGCATCCTGGACCAGGCCTGGCTGCTGCCACTGTCGAGGGAGGAGCAGCAGAAGGAAGATCTAGGTCTCTCTGTCACTCCGCCTTTTGAATAGATGAACAAATCATCGTTGAAAAAAAATGTATTTACTGCTGAAAGTTTTAAAAAACAATAAAAGGACTGAGAACAGAAATGATGAATGAGTGCTTATTAACTTACTAAATACTTAAGAAAAAAAAAAAAACCAAAACATTCATCATGCCCATTTGTTGTGTGGGTTTGGGTAGGGAGGCACTCTCACACGACACAGGAAGCACTTCCATACTTGCTTTAAACACCACAATAGGTAATACATATGGAAAGCTAGAACATTTGGTCCCTCAATTCCACTTTCACAACTATATTTGTGTGTGGGAAAAATCACCAATATAAAGAGAGCCATCCTTGTGTTGTACTTGGGAGCAAGATTCTCAAGACAACTTAAAGGTTTATCAAAGGGCACTACATCAGGTCACAAACTAAACACTTACATCTTCCCAAAACGCATACCTCACTCCTGGGGGGTACGAGGAGGTGGGGGCCATCGAGGTCAGGAGGGGAGGACGTCGCCAAGACCGAATCAGTGCTCTTATAACAAGAAGAAACGACCAAAGCTCACCTTCTCTCTGTGACGATTGCAGTCTGCAAACCAAGAAGTGTGCCTCCCCACACAGACTGGCACTGTGATCTTGAACTTCTCTAGAACCATGACCAATGTCACTTGGGCCTCTGGTGTTTTGTTTGAACCCCCTAGGTAGGACATACCTCTACTCGAACAAATAAAGGATATTCAACAACTACTAAAATGGTGATGATAATTCTTATTTCTAGGAAAAGCTACCTCTGACATATTGGGGGAAAAAAAACAACTCCCTATGTGCCATAACGTAAGCAGGACGATGGTACCTGCACAAGGCTTGCCATGATGTATGTGTAAGTAAAATGGTCTCTAGTGAACCACAGTGCGGGGAAGGCAGCGGGAAGAAAGGCAGGACCCGGATGCTTTCCCGGCACACTCACTTATCCCGCATGGCACTCCCCATGGAGAGAACACTTGCCACTTGGTAATGGTCACATGTGGGCACCTGGAGGACACCTGTGCCCGGGGTGACTCCTGTGACACTCAGGAAGGCGGGTGTGAAAGGAGAGCGCCCCCAGCAGCGCCCCCTCCCCAGGCTCCCCTGTGCCAGTCTCCCACCCGCAGGGAACTTTCTCCCCAGGAGAAGCTGCTGTGTTTCTAAGGAGAGGGAAAGGATGGGGTGGGAGTGGGGAGAGCTTGGACCGGATACTGGGCTCAAAGCTGAGCTGCGGGGGCCTCAGGTGCTGCCTGGCTCACACGGGTGTAAAGGAGTCACAGCACCGACAGCCACCACTCGCCACCGTGCCTTCCCACACTCCCTGCCACTCAACACTGCGCACTTCTTGGGTAGCTGCGCATCTATTTTTAACTCACCCCTTGGCAGCTCTGCTCCTCTGGCCTGAAACTCAAAGTCAGCATTACCGCTCCCAGGGAGAGCAAGGTGGCTTGGAAAGACTTCTGCGTTACTGCAGGCAGCCGTGCACACACAGTGTCCTCCCAGCCCTGTTCTCCTAAATGCTCTTCTGGTTTTTCTTCCCCCAAACAGACTCTACTTAACAGAGTTGCACATCAACGCATGGGGTAGGAGAGTTACACACTTCACCAAGGTATCCCAAAGGGTCCCAGAAAACATGGATGACATAAATCCTGAATACCTTGAATTCTGAAAGCTGTTCACCCCAAGGAATTCTCTTTTTATTTCCTCCCACAAACTTTTGGAGTACTTTCAGGTTTTTCAAGACAAGATGGCCAGGGACTTAAACTCGCCGGAGGAGATGGGATGAGCTGAGCCAGAGCCGTGTCCCCCACCCCACCCAGCTGGCGCTCGACTAACAGCGGTGGTCTTCTGCATTATTGAGCAGATCCTGGTATTCATAATGCATGACTCATTCTCTTTCCTCCAAATGGAATCGCTTGGAAATAAATCTGTTCGTGAACTCACTGAACTGACTGCTGCTGCGCACCTGCAGGAGTTGAGTGAGTTAAAAAGCTCAAGACATACATCGGCCCAGGATGCTCTTCACGGAGGAGAAAAGCCGCAATCACTTCCGGCCTGCAGTGTGCGTGCCTTCCGCTCCCCCATCCCCGTTCCCCCTACAAACAAACCGCAGCCTCCCTTGGGCAGCATGGCTGGCGGGGCCGGGGAGGGACGGCAGGATGAAACCTCCCAGGCTATGTAAGGAAAACAGTCCTCAAGTTCACAGCCAGGGAAGACTGAGAAAGCTATTTTTAAAATCTCACCTTGAAAGGTTACCACCTGAAACTGAACACAACAGATGTGGACTGCAAGCCCCTTCCTTCCCTACTCCCCAGCGGAACAGCTCAGAGACCAAATTCAAGAGTGCAGACAACGGCCAGGTGTTCTTGAATCATTTGCCAGCAGCACAGGGAATTGTGAAAAGCGAATCCTGTCTCCCGCAGAAGCAGCTGTCCGTGTTCTTAATACACGTGACACTTGGGGAGTGAACCAACAGACAGAAGATCGCTGTCTCTCCTTCTCTCTATAAATCTGTCTTTCCAATAAAAACAAATAAATTTTAAAAAAGAAAAATAATAAACAGTGCATGAGGCAAGGGTGTAATCTGCTGTCTTCCCAAAGATCTACTGCAGCATACTGGTCACACTCATGCAGGACAAGCTAGATCACCACTAGCCTAACACCACATATGCTTGAACAAGGTCTCCTGGTCACACAGGGCTGACAAGCACCACAGTAATACCACTCCCCAGATGTCCACAGAGCATGCACAGCCCAGTGGAGGCTCTGAAAACACCGCCTCAAAGAAACATCTTCGGATTTTAACTCAGCTTCCCCGACCAGTTCCTTTTTCAACTAGTACCAGTTAACATCTAGGGATGGGATCATCAAGACACATGTGAGGGGTTAGGACGAGGAGACCTGAACTCGGAGACAGTCTTGGGGCTTTTCCTGTTGGTCAATGGGAGTTGAGGGTGGCGACTGCTCAGGGTTTTGCAGCCGAGGACAACACGCAAGGCCAAGGTAGAATGGAACCTGGGGAGAGCCCGCTTGCCTGGCCTGCTCTGTGCCGTGTGCCCACCTCTCTCCTTTCCCACACCACTCTATCCTGAAAGCCATGATGAATGCAAAAAGGAGTCCACAGGCCTTTATGCAAGCAGAGTTTATAAGCACAGCTCTTTGCCACGAGAGAACATGGACTTGGGTCACCTTCCACTGGAACCACAGGCACCTGTAACCATCAGGAAACCGCCCTGTTCCCAGAGACCCCAGGCGTACACACCAAGCGCTGAGCAGACTTCCCTACCATCATTTCTCCTTGCCTCCCGATGGTCGCACAGCCCCCGTTCTTTCTCCACAGTCCACAACAGTTTGCTATATGGAGTTTTATTTTTGTCACTTTGTCATCTATCGGCACCGCTTGCCTACAGCATTGCCCATTCTCCAAACTGTCTTCTTCAGGACACAGATGCAGGGCTTTCCGAACCCTGAAACATAGTGTCTTTCCCTTTCATTTCTTTTTAAGATTATTTTTTTTATTGGAAAGTCAGATATACAGAGAGGAGGAGACAGAAAGATTTTCCATCCGATGATTCACTCCCT